GTTCCAGCTTGTTGCTGTACTGGTGGGTCTGTGCCACAGGCTGGATGGGAGTCCACGGTGGCTGTGGGAGTTGGGAACAGGCAAAGGCAAGGTGTGGTGCCCATCATACCTGGAGATTTGTCTTGCAGCACGGCTGCAAAATGTATTCTTGCCTTCCAGTTGTGTCAGTGTGGCAATGAAAGCAGGTGATGTATATAGTGTATCTTGTGTGATAAATGGCTCATTTTCTTCAGTACCTTTGAATGCCTGACTTGTTCTCCACAGACACTCTCTCTCTTAGGGTTTTTCTCTTTAGAATGCTTTTCCAGAGATGTGCCACGATGATCTTGAGCTTCATCACAGTCCTTACTCCTACACTTAAAATTTCCAGCTGTGGCCCAAATACTGCAGTATGAATACAGTGATAGTTTGCAGGCATCACAGGGAACCCTCAGGAGTGTGTCAGGACTTCATTTTTATAGCAAGCAATAGTAATTCAGCTTTCTCAGGCTTTAAAGTGCAGGTTACAGTCCCTTTGGAAATTTTTATGGATGTATTTCATGTTGGAGCTGTGCCACCAATGTCTATCTGTTGCTTTGTGATACTGCTCTGACTCCTGAGAGATGTTCTTGCTGAAATATTTCCAAAATAAAACTCCTGCTATCACAGCTATATATGGACTAATGGTGGGGTAAGTTTTGGTTTATCAGATCAGCTTCCAGGGCCCTGTGGTACATAGCAGAGAAGGTTTATGCAGGGCTCTTACAGCATTTTCCGTCTCTAGCTCAGTCCTTCTGTGCTTTAATCTAAAATGACAGTGTTCTGCCTCTCAGCATAACTGACTCTTTCTGCCTCTCTACTCTTCTGGCTTAGAGACAAGGAATCCCTGTTGTGTGTCCTGTTCAGATTTAGCCTAGCAAGTATTAGTTTGGTCATTAGTTTTGAGAAATATTTGTATTTTGATAGTGCTGGAATGCCAACAATCAGTACCTAAGTGTTTCTTGTTGTGAGGTCATTTCTGTTCTCTATTTGGTGCTCCAGATGGGCAAATTGGTCAAAGGTTTGTGAAGAGATGAGAGGAAGGAGAAGTGTAAGGCCACAACAAGTCCATAATGTGGCAGATGTCCAGATAGTTATGGCAAATATCTCACTTGAATCACTCATCACTGGCTGAGATGTAAGAGAGGAGACAAAGAAAATGCTGATACTTTGTAGGTGGGAAGGCAAAAGAAAAAGGAGTATTGCATTTGTTTAAATACAACCAAAATGAAAGAAGGTAATTTTTAATTTTATGTTATTCCTCTGCTCCTATGAGAGTTTGCCAATTACTTCTGTGGGACCACAAGGAGATCCCTCTGCTTTTTCCTGTGGTACACAGTGACATCTACAGAGAGTGGAGCACGACAAACAGGACTTTCCCATTTAGAACCACATTGTTTGAACTCATTTTTTTTTGCATTTTATTGCATGTGCAGTGTTACTTATCTTGTGCATTCCCATGGAGATCTGTTTGGGCTTGTTTTAGTTATTTTACCCTGACAGAAATTGCTCTGACAGTTGGAAATGCAATAGCAGTTTGCACAACCCAACAGCAGTTCCCTTCTCTTGGTGGGAAGGTAGAGTATGAAGTTCTACAGTGTAATGCCCTGGAAGACCTCAGCTCTTTGTAGATGAAGTTTATTTCACAACTGTGTTGTTCACATCAAGAAGTGGTTTTGGTCTGAGTGCTCCTTCTGAAATTATCATAGATAGCTTTTTCATGAGCTGTGTTCATTATTGATGTCGTGTTTTAAATTATTTAAAGAAAACACTAAAATGTGATTTTTTCCAGACTTTTTCTTTGTTAGACAAAATCCTTAACTCTATCACCTGCATTTTTGGTTGATTTTATTGGTCTATTTTCTTCCTCCCCCTTTTTTTCTCCTTTAAAAAGATAATTCATTAAGTAGGTATAAGAATGTGGACACCTGGGCTCTGAACTTATGGCATTTATGTTTCTATTGCTCTTGTTCCTGCTCTTTATGTAAAGGCCTTAATTTTGGTATTTCAAAATATGAACATTTGGGGGTAATTTTTCTTTGCTCATGGCTAATATTAAATGTATCAAACCAAGGTTTAGAAA